GTACACGTGCGGCCATTAAAGTGTTAATGTAATTTGAAATATTATCATATTTTTCTATCATTAAGCGATATATAAGATTCATGAATCTTATGGAATTTTTTCAAATTTGTTAATAAACAAATTAAAATACTCTTATTCTTTAATTCTTGAAAATTATTACCGAGCTTTTAACGACGTTTGACTCTGCGTACACGTGCGGCCATTAAAGTGTTAATGTAATTTTCAATTTTATCATATTTTTCTATCATTAAGCGATATATAAGATTCATGAATCTTATGGAATTTTTTCAAATTTTTTAATAAACCAATTAAGAAACTCTTATTCTTTACTATTGTATCATAAAAGTTACGTTGCGTTGTTTATTACTTTTATAAAAAGAAACCTCTGATGAAAAAGTAATAGCAAAGTGCATGCATGTAATTTATTTATCCGAGTAAGAAGTTGAATAAATGTTAAAAGAATAACAAATTAAGGACATATCGTACAGGGTGATGAAAAAAAAAACGTCACAGGTAGGGTAAAAACAACCCTGCTGCATTGACGTAAATACAAGGTTAATGTGGAGACATGTTGGGAATGGCGCCTACGCGTTAACCTACGTAGACTTATGGTTAGTATCAATCGATGTACAAAAGCGATGACGTCCGTGTTACTACATCACTGTAAAATCTACCTGTTCGGTCAACCACTAAATATCATCGGCCAAACACGCGTAATATCATGATTCTGACGCGTTAATCGTATTGCTCTGACGTCTTACCAACCAATCGATAAACGTTAAGAAGGTAGGAATAATTTATCATGAATTTTATTCCAAACAATAAAAAAATGTCTCATACTATTCATAACTAATGATTGTATATCTAGAAACAATAAAATATAATTTTAAAATAACAGACATTAATGTCTATAATTAAGATATCGATTTATTAATATTATTCTAGAATAATAGAAATTGTAATGATCTAATTAACTTTGGATATTTCCTTTAAAAAAAAAAAAAAAAGAAAAATAATATAAATTCATAGAAGATTTGTAAAAAGAAAAATTGGAAATAAAATAATGAATTTAATTACATATGCATAATTTCTTTTAAAACTATGTTACATTAAGAAAAACAATTTCCATAGAAATTCATTTTCAAAACTTTCTTCATTTATCTAATCTTTTTATAATTCGATAACGCGAAGAACATTATTAACATATTAAATTTAATAGTTGAGATTAAGTTTTTGAAGAAATTTGTGAAAATCGTTGCATATAAAATAACAAATAAAATGTAATTTGCAAAAGAAGAGATTATTTTCTTTAATTTCACAATGGTACGCATATATATATATATATATATATATATATATATATATCGGTGGCTTAAAACTCAGCCGGTTTATATATAGCGCACGCGCGCGCGCACGTTACCGAACAAAAGGAGTTTACTACGGCAAACTGCACTCGAGCAAGGAGTTCGATGGCACGCAGTTGCCAAGCGCGATCGACTCGTGATTTTCGAGAGTTCACAGACGCAACAAGTGGACTGGCGACTCACACGTTCGGAAAAATTCATTTCTAACTTTTAGCAAAAATCATTCATCGTTCATTCAGTGCGATTAACAAAAATTAAAGTGTATCATCATAAAGTAACGTAAGGTCATCGAACGTAATTTAATTAACGGGATTAAGTTAATTTCTAACCATTGATGAAAAAACTTGTTAGACAATTAAGACCTTAAAGCAAAGAAACATATAATGAGAATATAATGGTGAAATGATTAGTATTAATATTTGTTGACAAATACAATTAGTCAAACGCTAATAGATAAATCACGTACTTTTAAAAATATTTCTCAATTGAATGAACTCAAGCTACCATTTTCATCTATTTCAGAATCAACGAACCCTTTTGCTTTTCTAGATCCAAATCTACAAATTGATAGGAATAAAACAGAAAAAGACTCACCACGTGAACGTTGGAAAGACCTACAGGCTGCTCGGTCTGCTTCTTGTCCGTCTTCTTCGCCTGCCTTTTAGCTTTACTTTCAAGAAAACGTTGCTTCAAAATCAATGTGTCCTGTATATTTTGTTCGCAAATTCCGTTGAAACTTTGATCGAATTTTGGTGCGCATTCGGTTTGTCTGCGACGATAATTCTGGAGTCTGCGTCGAAGACGATCGATTGCTTGCCTCCTTGAAGGGGGAAGCTCACCCATGCCAGGTGCTTGACCCATTTGTTGTTGTAATTGAAGCTGTTGTTGACTTGTCACACTTAACTGTCCGACAGCGTTAAGATCATGAATCGAAGCAGTCGCGGCTACGGAGTTGGGTTGACCGATTACAGGATTACCAACTAAACTTGGTCCGTTATTATTGGTATTGTTATTGGAATTACCGTTCGGGCCCTGCCCCACGCACACTGATATGGAGGCAGGGGCAATGCCGGGGGGGCCTTGCGAGGGCTGACGAGGCAGAAGCCCCCCGGCCTCCATACAGCCGCCTAGATCCACCGCAGAGTAAGCCAGCTCAGTGATAAATTATTGCAATTGGTAAAACAAACGTGTCCTCCACTTTGTACTTATCTCTGTCACTAGATTCGACGACGTTGACCTCGTCAGTAGCTCTCGATGCTACCACCAGTTTGAGCATCCTCCATCGGCAGCTGACAGGCGAGCTGACAGGCGAGCCGACAACGAGCGGCATTTGACACGCTCGGTTCACCTCAACCTCTTTCTCTTCCTTTACTTCCTCCTTACACCGAATCCTTTTACTCGACTAGTTTTCACGCATAAACGGAAGAATAGTAAAATATACTAATAGGAGGAGTATTAGTAGTTGTATGATGACGGTGATGGTATGGGTAGAGTGTGGTAATATGTAGTAGCTTTAGTAATAGCAGTAGAAGCGGAAGATAAGAAAGAAGACACGTTCCACGTGAGCGTGACCGATCGCGCACTCTCGATGTTTGGTATCCGTATCTCGCGCGCTTCTCTCCCCCCCTCCCACCCCTCCCTACCGCCGACTCACTCTCTCTCGCTCTCTCTCCCGCTCACTCTTTCTAGCACTCTATCTGTCAATGGAGGAGCGCGTGCGCGCGCTTTATCGAGAATCTCGAGAAGACGAAGAGCGCGCGCTTCGTTCTACCGTCGGAAAACCGCTCGGCACTCATCGTCGCCGTCGACGTCGGCAGCAGCAACGGCGTGGCGGCGGCAGGCAGCGGCTGTGTGACGGTGACGGTGGTGGCGGGACCCGACGCCACGAGGGATACGATAGAAGGAAGGGGACGTACGTACGGACGAACGGACCGACGGACCGACGGACGGACGGATGGACGCACGACCGACCGATTGAGAGAGAGAAAGAGAGAGGGGGGAGCTAATGGATTGAAGGAGCGGGGGCAGAGACGGGCTGCTGTTGTAGCGCGCTTCGACGTCGGCATAACAGGTAGTCGAAAGAGCGTGCCGCTGCCGCTCCGCTACTACCAACTCGTGCCACCGACAGATGACAGGAGCACGAGACCGAATGCACCGGAGGGATCTGTCAAGGGGAAAGACTCTCAACGAACGCGGATTCGTTTGCCTTCACAAAACCGGCCGAGCAACAGCAGCTTCTTCGATCAACGATGGACAACAATGACAACGTTGCACTTCTCTCTTCCTCTATTTATTTCGCTTTTTCCTCTTCTTCTTTTTCTTCTTTATTATTACCATACGGCATTTCTTTTTTTCTTTTTTTTTTTATATGTTTGCTCGTTTCTTTTTTATACTTACACTTTATAAGTATTTTTAATAATAAAGAAGATGCAACGACAACAACGTCGATCCTTCGACGACTTTGCTCATTCTGTCTCTTTCTTTCTTTCGTGTCTCACCTTCCATATTCTATTTCTTCTTCTACTTATTATATTTCTACTGTTGATTCATTTCATTTAACTTATTACCTTTTTGTCAAACGATCAAAATAATGTCCAATAATTTGTCGATATAGGGCTTTAAAAAAAAAAATAAAGTGTCATCGAGCGTCGGCATCGAACGCGCCGCGCATAAGATCCTTTGCAAACAATTACATAACCTCACTTTTAAGTACCTTTAGTGCGTCAGCTTGCAACAACAACACTATGACGTTGACAACGTATAACTGTCGCGTTTCGTACGTCAAAAGTTCGGGAATATTTCGATTATTATCTTCGAAGAACCGAACGAAAACTTAACCCGAACAACACTTTAAGATTCGGCTCTTCGTAAGCGCGCGATGCCATTAACAGAACTGCGCGTGGGTACAGAAGCATATATCGTTCAAACGACGAACCATAATTTCTTTTTGATTCAGAACGCCAACTCGCGACGTCTGCTTCAAATAGAAAAGCTTCTTCGATTCAACGCCATCTATGAATGCACTATGTATTTAGAAGTAACCTTACCTAGTGGTTAAAATTATTTGCTTTCTACCTTACTAACGTGAAAAGCAACGTATGTGTTTGAAAATACCAAATGAAAATAAAGTAACGAATTACATTACCATTACAGACAATTCTTTTCAGACGTCATTATACACGTGTATTTTGTTGAGGTTAGTTTCAAGAAATTGACTTATTTTAATACTACATTATAAACATTTTGAAAAATTTGGTTATACAGTTTTATACATATTGTGAAAGAATACTTGAAACATATTCTTAACATATTTGTAATGTGATCAAGCAAACAGAAGACAATAATAATGGCATTAGAAAGTTCTAAAAGTAAATCCAGAATCCCTTATATACCGGGTACAAAACCTTCCATTAAAAATGCACAACTTCTTGTATCTACTGGAATACCTTCTTTGGATTATACAATAGGTATGTATGTTTTTAATTGAATTAATAGAATTAATTGTAATGACTCAAATTATTGTTTCTTAGGTGGTGGTCTACCTATCGGATCTATATTTTTAATTGGTACGTAAACTATTTTCTAATGATATAGTAATATATAAATTATTGTTTTTCTTATACAACGTGTTCTTCTACAGAGGAAGATATTTATGGAACTTATGCTCATGCAATGCAGAAATATTTTATAGCAGAAGGAATAGTTTCTAGTCATCCTTTGTTGATAGCATCTCAAGATACAGAAATTACTACTCTGCTGTCAGAAATACCTGCTCCAATAACAGACACTGCTTCTGAACTCAATGTACAATCTATGGATGATCGAATGAAAATTGCATGGAGATATCAGAATTTAAGAACGGTAGATTCATCTCCTATGGGAGGACGTATCTTTGGACATTTCTACGATCTCACAAAATCAATGGACAAGAAAGTTATCGACAATGCAAATATAACACAGTGGGATAAACCAATGAAGAATATTATGAAGAATAGTGTTTTTGAAAATCCTGCTTATGAAGATTTATTAAAAACTGTTGCGAAAACTTTAAAGAGTGGAATGTTTTTCACTTCTGATGAACCAGATAAAAGAAATGTATTAAGAATTTCTATTAATTCTTTGGGTTCTCGAATGTGGTTTTGTGATAGTGAAGAAAGTACACATGCAGATATGTTTAAATTTTTATATTGCTTCAGAGCTTTATTAAGAAATTCTTTTGCTGTTGCATTTATAAGTTGTCCAACTCAGAATTTTGACAATTATGTAAGTTCTGCTAAATTATGATATTCATATTTACATTCTAAACATATATGCATAACGTTAATTTATTAACAAATGTTTCAGGATAATATGGTGGAACGATTGGAACATTTATCGGACTTTGCTATCAGATTAGAATCATTTGCTGGTTCATCAAAAGAAACTAATCCTCTTTTCAAGGATTATCATGGTCTATTACATATCAAAAAATTACCGGCCTTAAATATATTGGCTCCACATACACCTGAGTCAAGAGATCTTGTTTTTAAATTACGACGTAAAAAATTGCTAATTGAGGTAAATATAATTATAAATTTATGGTTAAATATTATCATTAAAGTTTCGAATAATATATTTGTTACATTTAATTACAGATTCTTCATCTACCACCAGAATTTGGTGATACTACTCAACGTGAACAGGATGAAATGTCAACTAGTGGTTGTTTAACCAGTGGAAAGAAAAATCTTTTAGAATTCTAATATTTTTTTTTAATTATACATTTCTAAATCTAATTTATTCTATATGTAAACTATAGAAATATGGACACTGTAAATAAACAAATGATATTTTATAATCCAAATTGTGTTACATCTTATTATAATTACCATTCATTTAATTTGTTCTATTTTTACTTTTTATACTTATTAATATGCATCTGTATACTATAATTTTTTATCGGATTTATTTAACGGGGAAAAGTATGGCGTAGTAGTTGAATTAATGCAGGTTAGAGGAGATAAGCTTCATGCACACTTACAATAATGCGTTTATGTTCGTTTTTTATAATACGTAATACGAAATATAGAAACTATTCATATTCAAATATTACAACTTGTGAAGCTATGTAAAATAATAATAATAAATATATATATGGCGTAGTAGTTGAATTAATGCAGGTTAGAG